AATAGCCGGAGTTCCCTGGTCTGTTCGAAAAGGCCCTCTTCTAATAAAAAGCCAAATGTTCATTATCATGGAATTTAAAACTGCTTACCTGACCCCTTCCTGTTTACAGTTTTCCAAAACCATCAGAAAGCTCAGTCATTCTCCTGCTCACTGTGCCAGAGAAAATTTACAAGGTCAGAAGAGGCGTTTGCATGAGAAACAGCCACTGTTACAACACAGTAGTGGACTGGTGCTATGTGAGAGATTCAGGTTATACTCTTAACCACACAGAGGGATTTTTAGAACACATCTCTCATGAGTACAGTCTCATCACAGAATCACTTACCAGTGTGAAGAAAGGATCAAGCCGGCTTTAGGCTCCTAAATTCAGGAAGGGCCTTATACTTGAGAATCCTAAATGGACACATTTCTATACAGAATTAGTATCTAAGGCATATTCGTCCCCACCCCCTCTGCCAAGGCATTTCTTAATGGGCAATGCAGACAGATGGCACGCTTATCTTGTTAGCTCCTGCCCCATGACATGGCAGAAGACTGCAGTGCTCTTAACACTGGACTGGAATTGTTCAGTTAGGCACGGCAACACAAAACTCCCTTTGTGCATCTAACTACAAATCACCACGCTAATGGAAAAAAAAGTTGCAACCAGAACTTTCAACAGGCATTCTAGAAGATGATAACCTTGCAGTTAATAAGGTAAAGATGACCAGCGTATCAATTTCTTAATCAACAATGCTTGTGAATTAGGAGGCACTATTACAACATGAGTAAAGCTGAGCCATTTACCATTCACACTGGGCATACCTGCACCTACACTAACTAGGGATTACTTTCAGGCTAGGCAATATACTCATCCTGTTTATCTCTAATCAAAAAGTTGCAGCCTGCCAGCTCAGCAAGGTAATGTCCTATTTTGTTTCTGTTGCACAGGCCCTCAAGATCTACACTATTTAATTTTAATGGCAGCAGGGGGAGGAAAAGGCAGTGCTCTGCATGTAGAGTGATGGTGAAAATGATCCTCAGTCTTTGGGTTTGAGGGAGATTGGATTCTTGTATCTAAATCCATTTTCAGAGGCACACAAGAAAAAGTAGCAGTAGTTCACCCGACAAAAAGAAAGCCAACTGCCTTTATTTGGCAAACAGCTTATGAGATGAGATATGAGAGAACTAACAAAAAAAAAAAAAAAAAAAAAAAAACCAAAAAAAAAAGACAAAAAGAAGTACATCAAAACAAAGATTGAAAACCCTGGATCTCAGCATGTATTTACAGGGCACAACCTTTATGTACACATAAACTTCAGTTACATAAACTACAGGCACACGGAGTATTATAGTCAAAGCTATAGCTGCAAAAGTATTAGAGAACTGAAACAGTGCTATCAGTGGGATCAAGGACAAGATTACCTAGCCTGATCTACCACATAAGACAGATTTTCAGGTCTTGCCACTTGAATTCTTGTTTGAATTGGACTATCTTTTGCTAATGCAGCTACCCTTCAGTCTGTAGCTTTTAATAAGTCTACTGAAGCCTAAACTTGAATTATTTCTTTGCTGTCAAGAAACTGTCTTATTTGCATTATGAATTTACCAAACCTCTAACGACTGAATCTCTTAGAGGTTGACATACCTCATTAGCCAGTTTCTGTTCCCTGTCTAATTGATTTAGCCTGATCAAGTTATCATAGGAGATAATCTAAAGCTAAGTTGTTCTACCAGACCCTATGAAACATTGAATGGAATTCACAGATTCACAGGGATGCAGAAGCAAAATAATACCAGTTGAAGTACAAAGCTCATTTGCAAAGCAGAGGGTAATTCATCTCCTATTCCCTAATAGCATCAGAGATAAATGGAAGTCAGTTCCATACCAGTTTGGTGTTTTTCACCCTACTGCAAATTCACAGTTGATGGACTACTGAAAAAATGAAATGCTGACTTGTATTAGTCTCAGCTGTCACAAGGGGGTGGCACAAGAAAATACTAAGAGCACTGTCCTGTGGAGGATACTGCTTCCCCCTTGTCATCTGCTTCATATAAAAAGCAATGAAGGAGATGGAGTAAGAACCTCAAATAGCCAAATGAAGTTGGCTGAGACTTTACTCTTAAAAAAAAAAAATTTGAAAAAAAACCAACCCAGCTTGACCAGCACTTTCTACCTATGCATGATGGGTCTTTGTCAGAAGCATTGTTGCTATTATTAAAGTTTCCTCATTTGTTTTTCTGAAAGTTTATATTACATTGCATGTATCAGAAATAATACATTATTCAGCAGCAGTTGGAGCTGTCCAGAGGATGGAACAATGCTGAAATTTCTACTAAGTTAGGAAGTAATGCTGAGACCATTATGGCAGAGTCCCAGAAACCAATGTACAGACCATGCATGGCATGGGGCAAAGACAGAACTCTATTACTTCCTCCCTCATCCACTGAAATCTCTCAGATGACAGTAGCTTACAGATGATGCTGCACCCAGCCACAGTCCAAGCAGTAACGTCATCGCCCCCTCTTATAGACCTCCCTCTACAAATCTTAGCAACCCAGACCACTATGCTGGATGAGTTCCAGCCAGATAATTACCAATCATCCCCTACTACTCCAACACAAATCTCATAATGGCAGTTTCTACATTACCACTAAAATTAGTTGTGCTAATTAAAACTGCCTTCGCCAAAATAACCAAGTTCTTCCCAACTGTTTTTCCTTTACCCCTAGCTAGGTCAGGTAAAGAAAGCAGGATTTACACTGCATGAGGACACCATCAATTAGACCTACCACTGGTATCTCCTTCCTCATCAACAAAAAGGTGCTGCACAAGTTCATGAAATCCATTTACGTAAGTTCCTCTGAACATATCCTAGACATACCAACATGCTACAGTTCCCACAAAACTTCATCCCCTGAATTACCTTGGTGGTCACAGGGAATCACTGGAAATTCATTCTGTGTGAGTCACTATTTTCCCATTTATTACTTGGGAAATTACTTAGAAATTTAAGGTAAAAATAGTCTTTCACTGAGGGAGACTGCTTATGAATGCAAGCTATACAGAACTGTATCTGTGCTGTGTTGTATTTCCTGATTTTTTGGACTGGCAGGTAGTTAGGACTGAAGCAGACGTTGCGCAATGTCTAGAAGAAACATGCCTGGACAGCCCTGACCCACATCTACAAGATCCTAAAACAACAGCAGCTTCTTTCACTGGCTAAAAAAAAAGTTACATGCCAGTAATTCTATACAAAAGTACACACTATGCTTGAACAGTGCCAGTGAATTAAGCAATAAAAGAGAAATGCTCTATCTGTCCAAAAGAGGTTGTCAGCATTTTTGTCTGGAGAGAAGAAACTGATCACCTCTGCCCCAGCTACGGAACTGCCTCGGGCCACAGCAAGAGCTGGAAACTGCTGTTGCCACCTCGTGGGCTCCATGCTGAGTGCTGCAGGGTATGTGCTTCCAGCCACTTCCCGAGAGCAGACAAGCGCTAGTGTCTGGAAGAGCAGAGACTCTCCAGTCAGTGTGCTGAAGAGGTCCATTTACAACTGGGGATTCCCCCAGCAGAAAGCCTCCAGGAAGGAACAGAAGTAATCTAATAAAATCAAGAGAGTGGAAACAGTACGTAAGAAAAGATAGCCAGCTGACATGATGCGCTTAATTGGGTTACAAAACCATCTTCTCAAGAGCAGAGCATAAGATGTTTTCCTTAGAAATGGTATCAGTGGCCCATTTTAGGAAGAAAGCAAGAGATTTCAGTAGTAGTATAGGACTGAATGGCTTGCCTTCAGCGTGAGCAGAAGGCATTAAAATGACTTTCCCAGCATTTCTCCAAGGATGTGCAGCAATTTACCTGAGGACTCAACTTGCCTTTCTCACTAAACTGGCCATCGGTGATGCCTGACTCAAAGTTCTTGATTAACTAGCTCTCTCCTCAAAAATGGGAGAATTTTCCCATGCCAAATGGAAGACATTTAATCAAAGACTTCACAGGAACTATTGCTTCCATTTTCAGCACCTAAGTCATAAAAAGCACAGAAAATCAGAGGGAGAGTGCACTGTTGCAGTTTAGCAGCTGTGCAAACGCAGTCCAGGAACTTTGCTGTTAGAACATTCCCTCAAATTGCACTTTCTTCACAGTTCATCCAAGCTACATCTCCAACCAGATCAGAAAGCAAAATACAATGGCCTACAAAACATATAAAGCTTAGCAAAAAATCAATGGCTTGAGATCAAAATACCTAAACCCCAACTTCAACACAAAACTCCAAATACTCAGAAACTTTTTAATCCTGCTGTTTAATGCACTAGATATAACAACTGAAAAAAAAAAAAAAAAAAAAAAAAAAAAAAAAAAAAAGCATTAACACATTAACAGTAACATCTGTAGTCAGTTGCCAGACCAGTCAGGGCTGGATCAAAACGCTTAGCTTGCCGTATGGATTAGATGAATGCAAGGCTGCAGCGACTTCACAGAATTCAGTGCATATCTCCTTTCATTAACACAGCACATGCACACACCTGGGCTGCCACCTTTAATCCCTTTATAAAAGGAAAAAGCAGAATAAATGCACCTGGAGAGCGGGCACCTAGATCAGCTGCTTTCAGCTCTTCCACAGGACTTGAGTGGTATTTTATGGCATTTATCCGTGCTACCAGAAGCAACTGTTGCACACATGTTGGGAAACGATCACACACTCAACACACACTATGGCAGTAAGACTGGACAAGCAGCAATATTTGCATGAAGTAGAGATTTACTGCTATGGTAACACTGGACCCCAAAGCCAGGTCATGCACAAGTGGGAAACACATCAGGAAACAGGTCTTTGAAAACAGAGACCAGAGAGAAAGAACCTGGATCCAGGTAAACGTAACACCCTAAAATAAAGGCCTGTGACTGAATTCATGGAAGCAGTGCCATATTTTGTGGTGTAGGTGAAAAATCATTACAAGTTTCACAGAGGAAATCTCCTCTCCCATCAGAACTCTATCTGCATAATTGAGAGCAATGCACTTCTCAGTTTATCTGGAATAAACAGAAAGCTCAGCACTGCTCAGAATCAAGGCAATACTTTCAGGCCAGCGAAGTTCATCTTAGATCACACCTGTCCATTCAACTTAACACTATTTTTGCAGCTTTGAAACGAGAAAACTAATAGCAGCTGAAAAACTCTCAAATCGGCATGAGTATGAATAACCTGACAGCTCTTTATGGAGTGGTGGAAGAAGGAGAATGGAGGAAGATCTACCAAAACTGAAATGATGACCCATTGCAGGGATGCTGTTTTTAGAAAGAATTTCTTTTCAAGGAGAATTGAAGTTATTGGAATATTCATATTATCCACCATCAGCCCTGACCCTGTCAATCCAAGCAAGAAGTGAGGGAGACAGGGACAGTTTGTGAAACTCAGCAGTTAGTGGGCGAGACACTGGGTACAGTCCTGGAGGGACCATTTCTTTTGGTAGTGCACGAAGTTTTTCACATGTTGGTGCTCATCCTGGACTGGCTGTTAGCTGGAGTAAGGTCCCCTTGGCTACCTTCTCGTGGAGGAGACTGCAACAAGACCAAAACACATCCTAATTAGTGATGTGTAAATATCCTGCAGAGTGCTTCCTCAGAGACCAAATGAAGCACAGGTGAAGCACAGCAGGATAACAGCAGGGGGAGAGCATACCCCCAACTTGCAAATAATGATGGCTTTGCAAAAGCTTTGTGTTTACAACTTCTATAGTTACAGTACACAAGCGTTCCTAAAAAAGTCAAAGCAGAACTTTTAAGCCACTCTTATTTATTTACTATGTACAAGGTGCTGTTGGCCCCAGAAGTTGAATCCTACCTGGCATTTAGTTATCACAGAGATTAATATACTATAGAATTTAATACGTTCTGTGGCAGATGGCCTATCCTCCCTAAGGGCATTCTTTTGGAACTGCATCCTGGAAGGAATACTCGAAGCAATTCAGGCATTTTTTACTTTCTCTACTAAAAAAAAATTACTTCAAACAATCTGTGTGTTGATAAGATAAAAGACGTGTATCAAGAATTAGTTGGAATTAATTAATTAGAATCAATCCAAGCATATAAACTTCAAAGGACATTCTGTGTTGTACAAGGAGGTCAACGTATTGGCTAGAAACACTCGTTCCTTATATATTTAGTATTTACTATTGTAAGAATATGTCACGAGCACAATAAATCCATTCCCCTCCAGAATCTTCAATTCACCAACTTTTATAGTTTCAGTTAAAAAAAAATTAAAAATCTTAACACTGTCTCAAAGTCCACCTTTAACATGCCCATACCTTGACATGTATCTGGTTGCGCAGGACTGCAGCTCGCAGGATCATAGCTTTGGCACGTCGCTGAAACTCTTTGCCCATTAGTAAAGACTTCTCAAAAGTTGTGCTGCGCTGATCTACATCTCGAGCATAAAGAATCTGCAACCAATACAGCGAACTGTACACAGGAGCTATGACAGGGTTCCACAGCAGGAAGCCCTTTCTGCGCAAGGGAACAAAGCTAAGGTATCATGGAGTCTGAGTTTAGACACACATCAGCCCTGCTGAAAATACCAGTCACAACAGATGAATGCAACTTCAAAGCATCCCAGAAATTGAGAGTTTCTAATCGTAGTACAGCTGTTCAGTCTGTGGCTCAGATGCACTCACCTTACTGTGCGAGTCTATTCTGGCATTGATCAGTCCCTCCAGGATCAACTGAGTCAGTTCGTCTTCCAGAGCAGCCACTGTAGTATTAAAAGCAGTGGCCATCTTGCGCATATCTGCTGACACATAGGGGCTGAAGTACTAGAAAGAAGAAAATATTCAGTTGCCAAGTGTAGTCCCCACCCTCTGAAAAACCACGGAAAAAGCAATTACAAAGAAATGGCCTATCTTACTGCTCATCCACCTCTCAGGATTACAGGAACCATTACCTGGATAAGGGCACGATTTCGAATCTGGGTATAAAGTGTCCTGACATGAGGTGCAAGGTACATATCCAGCAGCAGATTGTCCTGTGCAAAAAAGCACATCAGAAACTGAAAAGCAGCCTGTAAAAATATATTATTCCTATGTTCTGAAACATATATGTGTATATACTTAAACCTTAAGGATATTACACTACAGCAAGACTATACCATAAACCAAGAATGAATGAAAGAACTAGCAATATATTTTAGAAAATTATTTCTCCTTGCCCTCTACTGCTAAACTACTCCCAATTTCCATTCACCACGTCAGGAGACAGAAGACACAGAAGAGCTGAACACTCTTAGTAGCTACTTTTAACACTCACTGCTTCTCACAAAAGTCTAGGTGAACAGAACTTTTAGGGTCTGCTCTGCACTGGCTCCCCTGCAACTCACCTTCATCTCATCCAGCATCTTCAGGCATGAAGCATATTTAGATTCATAAAACTTGAAGATGATGTCACGAACCTGTGGCTCCAGCTCCAAAAACAATTTGAAGGAGCTACAGATAAAGATGGCAGTGGTCAGACATCAGAACCCACCACTTAAATACCCACAACCCCATCAACAACCAAGCTGCAAGGTTACAAACTCTCACTATCATTTGAAGATTCCAAGAATTTACTCTCTAACAAACCAAATAGCCCCTTTTCAGCAGGGCTGGGAGCCTGGAACACAGACAGATGCAGAACAGCATCAGAGCTGTGGTGAAGGAAGGCAAGAGACTTTTGACAAACCAAGCAGTAGAAGTGTTTGTCCACACAAAACAAAAAAATGAATGGCAATAGGTCAAAATCGGGATATACCACCAGAAAACATAGGCCACGTCTGTGCATGCACTGTAGTTTGTGCTGGCCAGCTCTGCGTTCACTTTCAAAGCGCAGCATGCCATAGGTAGGTTAAGCATGCAACTGCCTCAGGAAAATAACCTATCGTAAGTGTGGGAGACCTTTGGGATGCACACTCTTGCTCAGCGCTCTCCCAATTCTCCATCACAGATTTCCAAACCTTGGGATCTCACCCTATGAATCAGCCAAAAGTCATGGTAACAACCCTTTTTCCACATCAATTTAAAATTAGTGCTTCCATACACTTAGCTGACAGGAATTCAGTATCATTGTAATACAATCTATGGCACACAAATATCCATTTTCTTCCAAAGACTGTAATTCTCCTAACCTTGTACATGTCATAGTTAGATTATGCTGCAAGTTGTATTAGCAATTATTAAATTGTATTATTACCATTAACATACACCAGAACATGTGGTAACATGAAGGCAAATTATCTTACAGCTGCCTTCTGTAGGGCACTGTCCCTCTGATTTAATATCTGATATGGACCGCTGATGGAGATAGAAAATTGGGCTATATAGATGTTGTATTTGAGCTGGGTTGGAAACTTTTGTTATACTACGAAAATTTCAGCTGTGATTAACCACTGAGTTTTAGACAGTGAAACGTCACTTAATGCTAAACTAAGGCTCAGTGATTCTTTCTCTTCTGTATGAGAAAGCTACTACTCCTGCCAGAATCCACTCTCAGCCAAAGTCCCATGTCCCAAAATATGTCCAGTACATACAAGCTCCTTTCAAGGCATCAGTTACCTGCTGGAGATAACATTTCGTTGCAGTTCCTGACGGTCAAAGGTAGCGAGGGCACAGAGACCACCATACACAGCCACATTGCTAGGAGATAACAGCTAGAGAGAGAGAGAGCTGTCACTGACTACTAAAACGACAGAAGGTTGGAATTACTCTACCCCAGGTCTTTCCTTCACACAGTGACAAGATTAGTCCTTGTCAAATGCAGTGGAATCACTCCTCATGCTCTCAGGCATTCACCCAGAGCCTGAGGAGTGTCCACTGCTAAGAGAGCAGAAACCAATTCCAACACCCAGCCTTTTGATTGAGCTACAAAGATCTCTCAGGTAAATCCTGTGTGATCCTGAGTAGATCATCTAGAGAACCCAAGAACAGAGACTTTTTTAAAAAAAACAAAAAAAACAACCACAAACGGTTCACAGCACCACTAAACTATACAGGAGTGCTGTGAGAATAACTACAATATTTGAATTTTACAACCTAATACTTAGAAGAATTACATCCCCTCCAAAACCTGCACACGGCTCCCTCTTGGTCCTCACCTCAGGGAAATCACAGTGATCAAATGATGCCAACAAGAAGCACTTTGCTGCCTGTTTGTACTTCCGAGCAGCTAGTTCGGCCAAGCCTAGGAACCAGAAAAAGTTAGTCCTTTGTTTATGCTAGCATGCAAATTAGGAGAAATTGCAAAATCTGGAGAGCAGGACAGGCCCCCACATGGTTGCTAATGCCTTCACTATTGAAGTGAAACGAGACTCTCAGACAGTATCTGGCATCCTTTGAACTATGCTGACTCACACTGGCATCCTCTCTGAGAAAACTTAGGGAGAAGAAAGAAATGGCAAAAACAAGTCAGCAGTTCCATCTCATCGGCTTTATTAAAATTTGCATTTCTGGTGAGAAAATACAAAGTCTGTCAAATCTGAGAGAAAAAATAAAGCAAGCACACACTGTTGTCAAAGAGCCCTACGGACAGCTAACAGGCAGAAAGATGGGCAGACAATACAGGAAGCTGAAGGATTCACTCACCTGCTGCACATTTCAGTTTGGTGAGAATTGCTTGTGTCTGGCTGTCTCTTTCTCCTCTTTGCTAAAGGATAAGAAAAAGCAGTAGTGAGCAAGCAGTATGAAAATCATTTGATTACAACTGTGATTACAATCCTTGGGATATTTCATCCTAATAATTAACTTGCAAATCTCAACAGCAAGATAACTTCATCTTATTTGTCTTGGGAAATATGGCAAGAAGTGAGGATGGGAAGTCTCTCTGTTTTTACCATGAGTCAGATTTCCTACACACATATCACGGGAGAAAAGCAACAATGAATCTCAAAAGAAATCACAGCAGCCAAGGAGGCTGGATTACAGGAAGAACAGACTGTAAGGTGAAGGGAGTCTTATAGGGAGCAAGTTGTAAAGGGGGAAAGGAAGAGATCATTTTACAGATTTTGGAGACAAAAAACAAAGGGAAAACTCATGCAAGTTAAAAAGCAGGACCTTACTTCTGCAATTTCTGGTGTAGACTCAGCCTTGCTTACATAGCTCAGAACATGAGACCAATTCTGGAGGTAGACACTGACCTGTAGAGAGCCAGAAACAGTGTAGAATAGGCATGGATAAATGGTGTTACTTAGATAAGCAGTATCATTGCAGACACAAGAGGTGTAACCAGAGCAAAGTACAGGTGGACTTTACAGCAGATATCAGAAAGACACCAAGTACCATTTCCTGCAAACCTTCCTACCTTGATGACATTGAGACACATGTTGATAACATGTTTAGCACTGGTGCAGTAATCACGGGCTCGCGAGTAACACTTGAGAGCGTTGCTGAGGTCCCCACAGTCAAGGTAATGATCACCTAAGTCATCATGGCCTCTCCTGGAGCACAGGAATTAAAACACCAATGAACTGTGTGCTCAGAAAGGGACACAGTCAGTTTGTTCCAAACAAGTAGCTCAACACACTGACCTAAGGCACTGAATGCAGTTGACATCCTGTGTTAGGTGCCTGGAGGAGCAAAATGCTCTTCCTTGCTCCAGCAGAGCCTTCTGCATCTCACCTGATACTCTCCTTGATGGAGTTCCCTTTGTAATTTTTCAGATCTGTGTCGAGTTTCTCCAGTTTAAGAAGAGCTTTTTTGCGTGTAGCTTCAACCCAAGCTGTGTCAAGAGGAGGGGGTTCAATTCCACTATCAGGGACAGCATCAGGTGTATTCTGCAGTTCTCTGAAAGGAAAGAGTTTGAATGGGGCTATTACACTGCAAACTTTTCAAAACAGAGGTCTGCTAAGTACCTGGCACTGTTACCCTAACAAACACTACTGCATACACAAAACAGACCAAAGTGAAAACAAGGGGGGCGGCCCGCAGAGGGAGGGAAGAAAAAGACTGCTAAGATTTCCAGTGAAAACAGTAACATAAGGCATCACAGATGTTTACAAATTCTTCTCAAAGCTATCCTAATTATCTTTTGCAGGTATTTTATTAACAAGCAAGCAATCACTAATTAGAAAGAAACAACCTGCTCTATAAATCAACTGAAAGCAAGTTAACAGTGCTGCAATGAATTATTACATTCTATTACAGTATTTAATGACTCTAAAGACTCATTGATTCCAATCAAACATCTCTATATGGGACACAGTGTGCACGTGCTTATGAGTCCTCTCCCCAGCTATACTGCAATGGCTTGATAGCAAAGCTATGCTGTACAGGTACTATCTAACTTCTTTTTCTATCCAGCTCAGATCTACATAGCTACTTGCACTGAACTCACTTTCCAGTATTTTAAACAGAAAAAGACATTCTGAGTTTTTGGGGGTTTTTGTTTGTGTTGGTTTGTTTTTTGGTTTGTTGTTTTTTTTATCAACAGTCCTTTTCACATATAAGAAAGCAATGAACCTACTGTCACACATACATGGTAAAGACTCACAGGGCAAAACAGACAAGAAATCAATAAATATGCACAGCAACAGAAATAATGCAAAGACAAGAAGTGTGGATGATAAGTGAAGTATCAAAGGCTACCCTTACCAGCAAATTTGTTGGGGGAGGGTGGGAAAACAATCAAAACAAGGCAAACAATTAGATAAGGTTTCAATTTATGAACATGAGAGAATCTAGAAGAGGCTTCATCTCCATAATCTACTTAAGGAAGGACAACTGTGTTCATAAATATTTGAAGCAGTTGCGAGAACTAAACTTTCCTCAATATATACCCGTAGCCTTTTAAAACCCTAAGGCTTCAGAATGAGATAATGTCTTCTGTGTTTAATCTTTTAAAAAAGCATGAGACCTTAGGCCTGAACACACACATTTCACTGCTATCAAATTCTAAAAACAAAGACAATTTGCGTAAGGAACACGCTAGTATTACATGCAAAGTCCCCCACTGTGGCACATTGGTCTTAATTCAGTCAAAAAGGCTCCCCAAGTTCCCACGATCTCTTAGTACCTGGTGGCCTCAGACAACTTTCTGTGAATTTCTTCATACACATCAACATTGAAAGTTCTCTGGACAAATGACAGTGCCATCTTGAGAGCTTCCACCCGCAGCTGTGGGCAGTGATCAGCAATAAATTGTAGCCGCTCAATTCGCATCAGACCACTGTAGCTGGACGCATACTGCTCCAAATCCTGCAAACAAAACCTGGTTTTAGAAAGCGAAGACAGCAACACTAAATCAGGCTACTCCACTGTGACCTGCCCAGGTTTTCCTGCAGTCCTGACTCCTTCATGGAGGGCAGTATGACTCAGACAAATAAAAAAATCAGGTAAGATTATTCCATTTCTACTTTCTTCAAACATTAGTAATTTCCTCAGAAATATGCAGTACATTACAATTTACCTTTTTTTATTTCAGTTGTGATGCTGTCTGCTAAGGCGAATCAGCTCACCCACTTTAAGCATTGATTATATCACCTGTTAATAATTTTGTCAAAATTCCACCATTTGAGCTGAAGTTTCCTAAACCAGACAACCATTCCAGATGTAGTTTTTCCTTGAAAAATAGTTTCCATATGACAATTTGCATTCTTTTGCTCATACTAACTTCTTAAAACATCTCCTTTGAGAAAAAATAGGGTCTCTTACTCTTGAGGAAGGATTTAAGGTTTAAATTCTGAACACTTAACAGATTTTAAGCCTTGGGGTGGGGGAGAGAAGAGGTGCGCAAAACATCTAGTAAAGATATGATACGGCATTGCAGGGAGATTTCCTAAAGACAGAAGTACACATGCAAACAACTGCAGCAGAATGTTCAGGGCAAAGTCAAGCATTCAGGCAGTAGGAAACACTAGATTCAGGCTGCCTGTCCACATTTAATATGCATCCCTGTATCACGTCTGACTCCCTCACCCCTGTATGTCTAAATTAAAGATACTGCTAAAGATGTCACGGCAGCATTTTCTAACATGATTGTTGCCTGATTCAGTGCAAGAATGATCTTGCTCTGAGACCAAAAGAGGACTGTGTGCACTAAAAATTTGTATATAGGATTCCTGCTTTATTTGCTACAGAACTTGAAAAATATAAAGGCAGGAGCATTCTTTCTTCTAGTTTCAAGCCTGATGGTACACAATACTCCTGAAATCACTGAGTAATTTTACTTTACTCCTCAGCTCTTTGAATGTCAAAGGGGAATTGTGGTCCTTCACATCAGTTACAGTAAAAAGAAAATCACTAATTTTTGTGGAACACTTAGATGCTATAGTAATAACAAACCACCACCAGACTTAAAGGTCACAACATTAATTGCTTCATCACTCTAGCTTCAGAACAGAATTGAAATGCAATGAAATTAAACAAGGTATCAGGCCACATGCTGAAAAAAACCAAAACCAACCAAAAAACCAAACCCACCACCCCCTCCCCCTCCCAAAAAAGAGGGCTGTGCAGTAAACAGTGAATAACCATGTGACAACTGTTATAAGGCATGGGGACAAAAGGAACATATTAAAGCTTCAGAGGTTGTGTGAGATCCAAAGCTTCCTAACTGAATGTTTTATTTTCCAATTTTAATGTTACTTTAACTTTTTCCCATTAACATTTTTGCTCTCTTCTGCAACACCCATTTCTCACTGTTACAGAGCTGATACATAAAAATTGGCCAAAATCTTAAACCATTAACCAAAAATTGAAGAAACTGATAGAAGCAAATAGAGCCTTTTATAACTCTACAGCTCTGTGGGTTTTAGCCAGTCTCCAGAGGATCAAACAATGAAAGACTTCTATCCTAATTACATACTTAAAGCACCTGAGCTTCGCTCCTCAAAGAACAAGCCTCAAAATAAAGCCATGATGTCTCTGTAAGTAATCAGAGATGTACTAAATTATTTCCAAATGGAAACTGTGTCAAACAGGCAGCATGTAGCAAGTCACAAAACAATTCCTCTTTCATCTCGGAAGGTGCGGTAGAGGTCAATACATGATGAGCTACAGAAGAGGTCACTGCTATTCTTACCCCACCTTGCTTTGAAGAGAATCTATTAATCTCTAAATAACAATTTGACAAGCAGTAAAATGAGGGAGTTTTTCAAAAACCTTAAAGAAAGAGGCCATGCCCAAGAAATACAACCCAGTAGCCCTCAACCAGCACATACCAGAGTGGGGTTCTCCACCACATAGTTGATATCAGGTGCATTTTGCTGATCTTCTTGTGGATCTACGTCAATCTGCATGGGCTCTACTGCACCCTAGAACAGCAAAATGAGGTCAAAAGTAGCTTATTACATTTGAGCAGGAAACAACTATGTGACTTAATCTATTAAGGACTTGCTTAAATACCATTAAATTTTAAAAATTAAAAAACCAGCCCTCAGCCTTTAGACACATTTAGGATTTTTCTCTAGCAACACCACTAGCCAGCATGACGCTTTGTCTAAAACAAGCACCAAGGCTCAGCATTCGCACAGAGCATTTTATTTTGTTTGGTAGATTATCAAGCAAGAAAGTGAAGGGGTCAATAAATCTGATTCTACAGATTATCTCAGGCATACTTGCTAAATTCCAAATGACATTCCATTTCTCTTCCTTGAGCAGGAGCAGGCATTAACACTCAGCTCAAGAAGCTCCAAAAGTCAAAAAGTACCCCAAAAACTGACCAGAACCTTTCAAAGTTGCTTTAATGCTTAAAACTAATAATTTTTTTTCGGGGGGCGGGAGGGGGAGACAACTGTTATACTTTTTAAAAGTATTAAAAAGTTTAAAGAAAAGAAAGCCGAATGGCAATTCCACAGTTTCTAACAAACACTGGGGAACAATTTATCTGCACTGCAAAAATTTACCAGCAGTTGAACTATCCTACTACAGTTATCTGAGTCCAACTGTTTAGGTAGATTATCTTTTGCAGGAACAACAGAATTTTATTCTCCCAGTACATCTTGCGCTGCTTTGAACCACATGAGGAATCACACCAGTACGATGACCTCAGTACAACTGCATCAATACAACACCTGCGCTTGTTCCCATTTAAGACCAATTTACTATGCAGTCCCACAAACAAAACTGGTATGCTATGAAGAAATTCTTTTTCTTCTCCTAGTCAAAAGTGTGCTGAACATTCCCCCTAGGTATTACCGATTTAAACTCAGGAAAACCAAGCTGAATGTCTTATAAAATGCTGAATATGTGCAGATATTACCATAAGCAACACCTGATTTGGGGTAAATTGCATGAGTGGACCTTAGAAGGGACAAAAATGCGAACCACACTGCCCCCACCAACACCAAATTATTTCCATGTTTTTATTGATTTTGCTGTCTGTTAAGAAATCAAAGATGGAGGGGTTTTTGGGTTGGGTCAGTGGGTTGTTTTGGGGTGGGTTTGGGTTTTTTTTTTTTTGGTGAGGAGGAATACGGCAGATCCAGATTTCCTGACTCTAAAAATTGGTGCATCTTGTATTCACCCTCAGACTGTCTGTTCTGTCACAGACTGGTATGTACCAAATATGCACATATGTTAACGCTGATGTGAAATCTCCTGAAATCTAAAGTAAAAGCAAGTTAAGCATATAAAATTTGTGTCCTAGTTTGTTATTCTCTGAGTGAAGGAAAGGGAGGGAGGCTGCAGAGGAGAGTCTGATTGTCCGGATCACCGCTCAGGAAAACTGTGCATAAAAACATTTAAGTCACCATATATTGAGACCATTACTTTTTCCATTTTTATCTACCTTATCTCTTTTCTTACATCATAAACACTAAGTGTCAGGGTTGCTTTTTTTAGGCTACATTTGCCTACCATAGTAAAAACCTGATATGGACTCCTCAGAAATCAGCTTTAACAGTAATTCCAGCTGGTAGAACAGAACGATTTGTGTCCTGCTACGCTGGGAGGCTGTACTCTGCATTTCTCTCTTAATTCCCAGACAAGTAAAAACACCACAAGTGGGCTGGAAGTCCCACTAGCACATGTGAACTCAGAGGTTTCAAGCTAACTTTTTATTTTGGAAGGAAAATGCAAGGTTTACTTAAGAACTACTCCCAAAGCAAGCAAAATAACGTGCACTCCCCAAGATTTTCAGAGCACAGAAGGGTGCCCTGTTGGAAGGCACCTCACAACGCCTCATACAAGCTGGTAAGCTGACACTCAAGCTGAAGTCTGCTGCTGTACTTGGGAGGAAGAGGTGTGACCTACTGCTGGAGGGGTTGCAGTACAGATCCATCACTGATGAAGAAGCTGAGCTGGATGCTGAACTATCCCTCATCCTGCCCTGACTTTCTACACCCCCGCGCCCTGACAGAGACCTTGCTGGCTGCTGAAGGGCAGACAGACAGTTAACTCCAAAGGGATCACCCGTGGAGTTACTGACGGTCCGGGCTCAGCTCACCGCCCCCCTTGGGGCTCCTGCCGCTTTCCCCCTGTACTGCAGGCTCTCAGCTTCTCTTCATCCGCCACCTCATTACACCCTCCTCTACTACCCAAGCCCTACCTACGGCGCATACAACGCGAAAATCAAGCAAGGGGGCCTCTGCAGAGGCGGGGGACGCCGCGGATGCCGGAGGACGCTCGGCTGGGCGCTGCTCCTCGCGAACGGCGGCGGAAGCGACACAGACGGACCCAGCGGAAGGGCGAATGAGGGCCCGGGGTCGGCCGAGCGCGGCTCCCCTTCCCGCGAAGA